CACTATCAGAGAAAGGAGAGGGACACTGTGTTGGCCATGAACCCCCCATCACAGGAATCTTTAGAAGAAAGGTTCATTGAGCTGGGGAATTTTCCTACTGCTTTCCATAGCCATAAAGACCTGGAGGGCATCATTCATCACTCAGCATGAGATACATAAAACTACCCCCTAGGTTGCTCTGGTGGCATAGTGCCTAAGACATCTGACTGCTAACCAGAAGGCTGGTGGTTCAAACTCACCAGCCCCTCTTGGAAGGAAAATTGGGCAATCTACTTCTATAGTGATACTGCCTCGGAAACCCAAGGAGGGGTCGCTAGGAGACGAATCTGACTCAACAGCAGTGAGTTTGGATTCTTGGTTATGTCACAGACCAACAAGAGTCCTTCCAAAGACCCAGTTTCTGACTAAAGTTGCTATCCAGAGCATTTCTGGGTGATAAAATTCATCAGTGTTGCTTTTCATGTAGCTTGAGATTCTCAAAGGGGCAAAGCAAGCATCTATCTCCCCAGCTCTTCATTGAAAAAAAAGTGAGTTTTGTACTCTGGCACCTTTCAGTTGCCTGAGGATCAAGGAGAAACAATCCAAGAATTCCGCCTCATGACTGGTAAATAACCAGAGAGATTCCATTCTTGTGCTTTCTCTCATTCAATCCGGTGAGTCACCCTGAGAGACAGGTATTATTGTCAATTCACAGATGAAGAAAGTGATTCATAGAGAGGACAAGTAACCTGTTCAAGAACTCCCATCTATGAATTAGTGGAGTCAGGTCCCTTCTCTACTTATGCAATTCCTACTCAGTATCAAAGAAGGCTTAGTGGCACAGTGGTTAAGTGCTTTGCTGCTAACCAAAAGATAGGCAGTTTGAACCGTGGGAGAAAAGACCTGGTGACCTGCTCCCATAAAGATTACAACATGTAGGGTTGCTATGAGTCAGAATTGTCTGGACAGCACACAACGACACTCATTATCAAAGGCCAGCTCAAAAATCTTCTTCTCCTGAGAAAATCTTCAAATCATGATCAGGAATTAACCCCTGAAGTCATCTTTAAACTGAACGACTGTTCAGCTAAATTGGTAAACAAGATGTTTGCCATGAGCATTGCTGTCTTTTAAAGTATTATCTATATGGGATCAAACTGACAGCAGTAACTTTATCTAAAGCATAAGTTGGAAGTTTAGGGAATAGTGAGTCTAAGTCAATGGTGGTGAGACCATATGGGTAGAGATAGTGAGAATGGGGACATGATGTGAAGAATGCAATCAGCTTAAATTGAACGTGTAGACGTCGATGAATGGTGTATGGTCTGGGTGTGTATTTTCACCAAAATAAAAATTACAAAGGAGAAAAAGGTGGTGAAAAAAAATAAATAAAACAATCAATAGTGAGAGGGGGAAATAAACTTTTTCCCTAAATGTGGATATTTATGTGTATGCTTTATCCTTCTATTTAAATTATTAATTCCTTAGGGGTTATACATTACCTGATTTGATCAATTGTTCATGATAGATACTCAGTAAGTTTAGTCGGATGAATAAGTGGATAAACCTCATGTGTCCACGTCATAGACTCTCCAGGCAGATTCGCCAGTGTCAGACAGTTAGTCAGGAGAACAGTGGAAAGCACACTAGCCTCTGTTATGGCCTTTTTTTCCCAATTTCTCTATTTCCCTCCAATCCTGACCCAGGGACTTATTTCTCTTATTCCATTTGAATGGACCTACCCAACACATCAGTTAATAGGTAGAAAGTTTTGTATAATAATACAAACGTTTCTTCCTAGAAGGTTTTGAGGAGAGTTTGTCTTTCTTATGAGGTTTCATGTTTAGAAGAGATAGTTAAGGAAAACAAAAGCCAAATAAAGATATAAATAGATATAAAGAGAGGTTGCCAATTCCACCTCAGATTCCTAGAGCACATCCAGATGGCAGTGGCAGTGAACAAGTGGGCTAGTCCCTCCTCCAGTGTCCTCCCTAACTAACTAGATTGCTGTGAAGTGTGACTTGAGATCTAACTAATGAAATCCGACTTAGCAGGGTCACCGAGGCTTCTGAAGCATGAGTCTGCGTTCCTCAAGTCAGTGTAACAGAATCTGAGCCGTGCCCACAGAGGGTGGGCCAGAAGGCTATCTGGTAGCAAGGGCACTGCTGGGGCTTTAGAATAACAGCACGTGGCTGTAATGGAACCCCATCCCAGGACATTTAGCCAGTTAATCATCTCAATTACCCATCTTTTATTCATAAACACAGAGGAACATTTGCTTTGACTACTCACTTTGCCCTTTCAGGTTTTATCAATATTATATTGTCCCAATTTTTTCCTTTATGTCACATAAAATACACCAGCAGAGTTAAAAGTATCTTTTCACCGAGATGTCAGTATGGACATTGGACTGGGACAATCTGGTCACTATTGCTCCCAGAACCAGTGTGAGAAGCACATGTAGTTTAAGCATAAGGCTTAAGTAGTTCTTTGGACCTCATTAAGACTCTAAATCCACAGAGCTATGAGACAAATAACCAGGTAATCTGAGGCAGGAGGAGACCTTAGTACCAAATAGCCCTTATTATTGCCTCAATTGTCCATTCCATTTCAGCCTTAAGGGGGAGATTTTAAATGGCAGGATTATCTATTTTATTTCTGAATGTTAGAAACACAACAGGATATTCTTAGCAACAGTAAATCCATTAAATTTCATCACAAGTGGAGCTCAATCTCAAGTCCCCACAAACTCAAATAATACTCTTTTCACAGGTTCACATTTCTCCTTCCTTAATGGTAAGTAAGTAGATAAAAATGCAAATCATTGACCAAGACTGTTTACTTGTCAATATTCCCAAGCTACTTCTGGGCAAGAATTGTTTTTATTCACTATTCTGCCCCTGGAGTCTAGCTCATCACTTGTTGTTGGGTGCCATGGAATCAATTCCGACTCATAGCAACCCTACGTGACAAGTAGAACTGCCCCACGAACTGTAATCTTTACAGAAGCAGGTGGTCAGGTCTTTCTCCCACAGAACTGCTATGACATAGATGCTGTAGCAGAAGGATTTGGAGTCAGACCTCTAGGTTTTGTTATCACTAGCAATGTAGGCTCAATGAATCTCGCTGGGCCTCAGTTTCCTCATCTGTAAAATATGCATAATAATACCAACTCAGAGCATTTGTGTGGTAATTTATGAGTTAATGTGTGCAGAATGCTAAGCAGACTCAAAGTATGTCAACAAATGATAGCTGTTATTTGCATTGTCTTCTGAATTTAGCTATGAGCCATTGTTTTGGGAAGTTCTGTGGATTCTGAGGGGACAAGACTTTAGTTCACCTATAAGAAGGGAGAAAATAACACATACGATGTCTTTTTTTTTTTTTTTTTTTAAGTTTATTGTCAAAGTCTCTAGTCTATCACTCTCAAAGTGTGCTTTGGGGATTCTTAAGGATCTCTGTAAGGAGCCCTGGTGGCAGAATGGTTTAGCACTCTGTTGCTAACCAAACGGTCAGCAGTTCAAACCCACCAGTGGATATAACCTACATAATTTTGATGTTTCTCAGGAGAAAATATCTGGTGATCTGCTTCCATAAAGAAACCCTATGGGGCACTTCTACTCTGTCCTATCCGGCCAATATGAGTCAGAATTCACTTGAAGGCACTCAGCAACAGGGATCCCTGCAATGCTTCTGGGCTCCAAAAGTCAAAACTATTTTCTTTATAACATTGTTAAATATTCAATAAAACATAATGGTCATTTGTGTCAGGTGCAAAACCCTTCTGAGAACAGTTCATCAAAAGGGCCAGTTGTGCCAGGCGCAAACCTGGACAGAACAACGGGGCATTTTCAAAGTATTCTCATTGCAAAAACTTTCCCAAAATGAACAATTTTAAAATGTTTTTGATTCACTGTATCACTCTACCAAAACAACCAATTCCTACCAGACAAATATGAAATTAATGACAGAAAGCCCCTTACTTTGTAGGGCCCTCCCTTCTGTTAAAGACATATTTAAAATCCAGTCATAATAATTTCCCTACTCAAAAAACAAACTCACTGCCACTGAGTCGGATCCAACTCATAGTGACCCCTCCTTGGGTTTCCGAGGCAGTATCACTACGGAAGTAGGATTGCCCAACCTTCCTTCCGAGGAGTGGCTGGTGGGTTTGAACCGCCAGCCGTCTGGTTAGCAGGCAAGTGTCTTAGCCACTATGCTACCAGAGCTCCTACAGAGGTAAATTGCCCCATCTTCCTTCCAAGGAGTGGCTGGTGGGTTTGAACTACCAGCCTTCTGGTTAGCAGTCAAAATGCCTTAGGCACTACATTACCAGTGCTCGTGGAAATCCCCTAAGTACCTTTGAAAATTCTGCTTAAGTGAGCTCCTTTTGGGACACTCCCTATCCTCCAACAGCTCATGGCTCAGTTAGACCCATTGCCATTGAGTTGATTCCGACTCATAGTGACACTCCTTGGGTTCCCAGGATTGTAAATCTTTATGGGAGTAGATTGCCTCACTTCCTCCAAGGGAGTGCCACCAACATTGTGGTTAGCAGCCGAATGCCTTACCCACCACACCACCAGAACTCCTTAAACCCTGTGGATTCTAACTGACTCATTAATCAAATTTGTTCTTTCAGTAAACATACTATTTGCCTCTTTCACTCTCATGTGTTCACCATTGTAAGGTGGACTTTTCCAGAGACAACATGATATGTGATGATGTCACACAACAGCTAATGGAATGTATACTTGTACATTCCTGTGCTTTTGAAATTTCTATTATCATTTATAATAAATGTCCACAGTATACCCTACATAATTTTGATACCCTCAATAATTTTTTAGAGTGTAAGAGTCCTGAGACCAAAGCGTTCCAGAATCTCTGCTCGACAGTCTCAAGTTAAAGGGTCACTCCCCCATTTCAAAATCTGCAATGCGAAAACACCAAACTCTTAGCTTTGAGACTAAGACTAGCCTCCAAAGCTGCTCCGCCTCTATTTTGTCATTGTGTTTCAGGTTGTCTGAGTCCGACTTCCCCAGTGAGGAATGGTTGTGGGATTACGAGAAGCATGGCCATCGACATTCCATGATCAGAAGAGTCAAGAGGTTCCTGAGTGCCCACGAACACCCCCCAAGTCCCAGGAGGAGAAGCTTCGGGAGGCAGACCAGTGACAGCTCCATGCTCTTCCCACCAAGCGACCTCAGCCCAACCAGGGATCTGCTGGATGTTCCCAGGAGAAACCCCCACAGGGCCTCACCCACCCGGAAGCAGCCCTTCTCCCTGGAAGGGAGCCCCAAGCTGCGTTCCAGCATGGGAGAACTGTCTACAATTCGAGAAAATAGCCAGACAAGCACTTTACAGAGCCTGACTCCTCAGTCCAGTGTGAGGGCTTCACCTGTGAGGGCATCCCCAACCAAAATGCTACAGGTCCCTGAAGTACTGATCACCACAGCTGAAGCACCAGTGCCCAAGTCAGATGTCCACCACCATGATTCCACCGATTCCCTCTTCAACTCTGAGTTTACTGGGGTTCAGCCAAGCAGTACTGAGCAGCAGGACGACCCTGTGGGTCCAACCCTATCCCCCTTAGAGAAGGATACACCTCCTAGGGGTCCCAGTCCCCAGACTATTTCAGCCAAAGCTGAGGAAAATATATTTAAATGTGCTTTTGAGGAAGACCCTGGTGGTAATGATAGTTTCCTAAAAAGGTGGAGTCTTTCAGGGTTCCTGGTGTCCAGCCACACCTCCCTGACAGGCCTAAATTCAGATCCAGGTAGCCCCGAGCCCCCTCTTTTACTCAATATAGAAACATCTTCAGAGAGCAGTGGAATCATTACAGCCAGATCTCAAGTCTTTCCTGATATGCTGGACTTAGTGGGAAACCTGGACACCAAGGAAACTGATATCATAGAGGTTAATAACGAGCAAACTGAGGAATCGCCCAAAGGAAAGCCAGAAAGTTCTAGGACCTCATGCTAACATAGATTCTTCCCAAAAGTTTAGCATTTCTCCCAGAACACATCTGGGGCTGGTCAAGGCAATAGTTTTTGTTTGTTTGTTTGAATTATCACACTATAAGCTACTTAAAACTTTGAGGGCATTATGATCTTGACTTTCTGAAAACTAAGAAATTCAAACACATTCATGTCATCCATCACAAAGTAGCTTTCATGGAAGTTATACAGACCACAGTGATGTATCTTAACCAAATAAGGAATCTTAAAAATATGCATATGACATATATTCATAGTTTGTTTGCTAGTTTTGGAAAGAACCTTATATATTATAGACCAACCTCTTCATTTTACCAATAAGGCCCAGATACAAAGGATTCTCTATTTTACTTTTTATCTTTCTTTTCTTTTCTTTGTATTTCTTTTTTTCAACTCTAAAGACAGAGAGGTAGATTAGATAATGCTTCAAAGGCTCTTCCTAATAAGGATTCTTTGAGGCTTTCTAATCCTCTTACTTGTACTTTTAATAACTATTTATTATCATTTCCTAATTCTTAAACTTCATCCAAAACAAAAAAACCAAACCCACTGCCATTGAGTCAATTCCAACTCATGGCAACCCCCACTGGGTTTCCAAGGCTGAAAATTTTACAGAAGTAGAATGCCTCATTTTCTTCCTGTGGAGCAGCTGATGGGTTTGAACCAGCAACCTCTGGTTATCAGCCAAATGTCTTACCCACTACACCACCAGTTAATCTTCATCAGCATCAGAAAACTTCATCTTTCTGCAATTTCCTCTTCTACTTTCAGGTCTTCATATTTCTCTCTTCCCCTTTAATTTTCTCATCTTTTTTCCCTTCCCTTCTCCCTAGTTTTGCTCCTTCTCTAATACTAATGTCCCACCTACCAAGTTATAATATTTTCTTTTTTCTTTTTTTTAGTATATATGCTGCCGAAGCAAACACTATAATATTTTCTCTTACCAACTCAGTTGCTTACTTTTTGTCATGCTTTTTTTAAAAAAAAAAAAAAAAGCCATTGGCAATGTCTCCCACAGAATAATCAAAGCTGTCCACAAATCCAACTTGGCACACCCCCAGCTTCTCAGTGGAAGGGGCATCAGAGTCGGCAGTATCCCACTACACCCTTGGCAGCCATTGCCATGTCTTATGCTTCCACTCTTTGGTCTTGAACGCTGGAGAAAATGAAGCCAAGAGGACAAAACCAAATACTATGGAACCAAAGCATAGCATGCTTTCTATCTACTTAACTCCAAATCTTAAGCAAATATCCCAATCGTGTCACAACATGGGACCAGTTACTGTGTCTACCAGATAGTTTGGGACAAGGTGGGATATTGGAGCTGGGAGATTAAGGGGGTCCATGACTACATAATGGGGATCAGACATTTACTAACCCCCTCCAAGGAGCCCTTGGGTTAGCTGTTAGTTTGAGGATCCCCAACTTTGTCTGGAAAGTCATGTCTTATGCATGCTACTCTCACTATACCTGTCATATGATAAGCTTGAGTACCTGTGACTTAATAAATAAAATCACAATGACAGCTACCATTTGTTGAATGCTCACAATGTTCCAGACAACAGAACATAAAGTTCACAGATAAGTAACTTCACTACTCCTCATAAGAGTCATATGAGGTGGATCTACATTACCTACATTTTGAAGATGAGGAAAACAGAGGCTATGGAGAAATAAAATATTTTGCCTAAAACCATACAACCAGGAAATGTGCTAGAGTGCAGAGTCAAACCCAGGCTTAAAAGAGCCCACACACACTCTCAACCATTGTGCTGTTTGCTGTCCTGTCTTTAGGGCCCAGAACCTGCCAGCAATTTGCTCAGAATTCCAGAAACTGTCCCATGAGAGCCACATCAGGTTCATGCTGAGCCTCTCCAGCTTTGGAGGCCTGGAGTGGTGGAGGTGATGAGCCAAGTCAGTGGCACCATAAGAGAAGGAAAGAACAGCCTTCTTGTTTAGGGGCCAGTCATCCCTAAATTCTTGAATTACAGGGAAAAAGTTAGTGGTCCTTTACCTAACTGAACACTGGGCCCCAGTATCAGGGTAGAGTTACTTCTAGAGAGGGAAGGGGAGAGAATGCAAAATACAGGGCTTGGGCTTGCTGTACTCTCTGGATTGTGGATGCCATTTAATGTAGAACAGAACTGAGCCTGTTCTTGGCACTGACAAGCCAAAACACAAAGCTACCAGGCCATGTGACCATTTGTCTAGGTGGCAAAAGTTTCTAGAACTCAGGGTTAAGTAGGTAATGAAGAGCTCATTGTGTTTTTGCAAATTTGGTCTGCATTGCACTAAAAATACTCTTATTTTAGAATGAATACTGAATACAGAATTTCTTTATCTGCTCTGGGCAATTGCTCTGTTGAATTTATAGGTGAATTCAACTGCATATACTCAGTGAATAAATGGGTCATTACTCAGTTTTCAGAGAAGGGAGAAAATGGGAAGTTGACCTCAGATTTTGAAGAACAATTGAGGAGCTTTGGTGGCATAGTGCCTGTTCTGGTTACCTAGTGCCACTCTGATAGGAATATATACCACAAATGGGATGGCCTTAAGAAACAGGAGTTTATTTCTCACAGTTTGGAGGCTTGAAGTCCAAGTTCAAAATGCCAGGCTCTAGGGGCTGTGTGAAAACCCCTTGACCTTGGGCTTCAGCTCTGCCTCTTGCTCCCGGCCCACTGAATCTAGAGGCATCTCTTCACTCAGGCAACTAGTGGCTGCTGAGGATAACAAGCCCAAGGTCTACAAATAAAATGACACAGTCCCGATGTTACCAAACCATATGGCAGGCCATTAATTCAAGTCCGTGGTAAGTCCCAGGGTCAGCAGAGCATGGCAGGCTGCTGAACAATGACATGGCTACATGCAGGGTCCAAGCATGCTATAAGCTAGAGACCATTTCCCAAGACTTCTGCTTATATACAGGAAGCAGACCACATTCCTTAAGGCAGCTACTCAGCTGTTCACATTAGATTCCACCATGGAGTTGATTTCTAGTCTCATCATGGGCAATACTCCATCCAGCTTCCCAGCCACTCAACCAAGCCTAGCCAAGTTGACACACAAACTGAACTACCACAGTGCTTAAGGCATTTGACTGCTAACCAGAAGGCTGGCAGTTCAAACCTACCAGACACTCCTCGGAAAGAAGACTGGGCAATCTACTTCCATAGAGATACCACCTCAGTACAGTGCTGTCAGTGATAGGGTAATATCCATCTGCTTACAAGGGAAACCAGTTAATATGACCATTATTGAAATTTACATGTTGTTGTTGTTCTTGTTATGTGCCGTCCAGTCGGCCCCGACTCATAGCGACCCCTCCTTGAGTTTCCAAGGCAGTATCACTACGGAAGTAGGAGTGCCCAACCTTCCTTCCGAGGAGTGGCTGGTGAGTTTGAACCGCCAGCCTTCTGGTTAGCAGTCAAGTGCTTTAGCCACTATGCTACCAGAGCTCCTATACCAACCACTAAAGCCAATGATGAAGAAATTGAAGATTTTTACCAACTTCTGCAGTCTGAAATTGACCAAACATGCCATCAAGATGCATTGATAATTACTAGTGATTGAATTGTGAAAGGTGGAGACAAAGAAGCAGCATCAGTAGTCGGAAAATATGGCCTTGGTGATAGAAATGATGCTGGAGATCACATAATAGAATTTTGCAAGAACAATGACTTAGTCATTGCAAATACCATTTATCAACAACATAAATGGCAACTATACACATGGACCTTGACAAATGGAATACAAAGGAATAAAATCAATTGTATCTTGGAAAGAGACAATGGAAGAGCGCAATATCATTAGTGAGAACAAGGCCAGCATCCAACAACAGAACAAATCAACAATGGCTAATATACAAGCTTAAGTTGAAGCTGAAGAAAATTAAAACAACTTCATGAGAGCCAAAATATGACGCTGAGTATATTCAACCTGAATTTAGAGACCATCCCATGAATAGATTTGACTCATTGGACACCACTGACTAAACACCAAATGAATTCTGGGATGACATCAAAGACATCATACATGAAGAAAGCAAAAGGTCATTGAAAAGACGGAATTGAAAGAAAAGGCCAAAATGGATGTCAGAAGAGAATCTGAAACTTGCTTTTGAATTGAGAGTAGCTAAAGCAAATGGAAGAAATGATGAAGTAAAAGAACTGAACAGAATATTTCATAGGGTGACTCACAAAGACAAAGTATTATAATGAAATGTGCAAAGACCCAGAGTTAGAAAATGAAAAGGAGAGCACATGCTCAGCATTTCTCAAGCTAAAAGAACTGAAAAAAAAAAAAAAATCAAGCCTCAAGTTACAATGTTGAAGGATTCTATGGGCAAAATATTGAATGATGCAGGAAGCATCAAAAGATCAAAAGAATACATAGAGTCACTGTACCAAAAAGAATTGGTCAACATTCAACCATTTCAGGAATTACCATATGATCAAGAACTAATGATATTGAAGGAAGATGTCTAAGCTGCACTGAAGAAATTAGCCTTTTCTTTCTTTCCTGTCTTTTCAATGACCTTTTGCTTTCTTCATGTATGATGTTCTTGAAATCATCCCACAGCTTGTCTGGTCTTCAGTCATTGGTGTTCAGTGCATCAAATCTATTCTTCAAATAGTCTCTAAATTCTGGTTAGATATACTCAGGGTGGTATTTGGGTTCTCATGGACTTGTTTTAATTTTCTTCAGCTTTTACTTAAACTTGCACTTGCATATGAACCATTGATGGTCTGTTCTATAGTCAGACCCTGGCCTTGTTCTGATGTCTCTTTCAACAGATATGGTCAATTTGATTCCTATGTAGACATATGGATATTATCCTATTACTGACAGCACTGTACTTCAGGATAGATCTTGAGATGTTCTTTTTGATGGTGAAAGCAACACCATTCCTCTTCAATTTGTCATTCCTGGCATAGTAGACCATGTTGTTGTTATGTGCCGTTGAGTCAGACCCAACTCATAGCG